AAGCACTGTTGTGAACTTCTCTGTCTCTAAGTGAGTCTTCCATTTATTCCCTGCTCAAATATCTTTTTAAAAAGTTGTTGAAGTTGGAGGGCTTACCTTATCTGTCTTTCTTTTGTTAAGGATCACAGGGGCTCTGCTACCTATTTTCAGAGTCTGAAAACAGTTGTCTAAAAGACTGATTATTAGCTGAAGTCATCATGCACACTCATGACTTTTCTTTCTCTTCTACCTCCACCTGTCTATATTCACAAAAGTAGATCCACACCACTCCTAATTCTCTTTCATACTTTGTATAGGCTTTATAAGTAGTTTCTTTGGGTCTTATTTTTGCAAAATCTCTCTAGCATTCTATAAGCCTGTGGATTGTACCTCCTATACACACATTCAAAACACCTTATGATGGATACTTGGCTACTTCTCCAATTTTGATTTGTACTACTCTGGATTTAGAAATTTAGCTGTGTTGTCCATGAGCCTATGATAGAATCTACACCTTTAAAATAATGAAGGCTCACACAAATGTAGCAGATGCTAATAAACAGTAGGGGACACCTTAGTGGTGACAGTGCAATCTGTATTATCAGAATCTGCTTCCAGATTAAATTACCACAAATTTTCTATTTGTTTATTTTGTTTTAAACAATTTTCAGTCAAGGAGAATTTTAAAATATTTTCCAAGTAAAATCAAGAGATGTTTGCCCAAAACCCTCCATGATATTGAGGCTAATAGTATCTTCAAAGACGACACTCCACTGACAAACCAAGTGGAAACAGAAATAAACAAATGGGACTATCTTAAGTTAAGAAGCTTCTGCACCTCAAAAGATACAGTGAACAGAATAAAAAGACAATATACGGAATGGGAAAGGATATTTACCCAATACCCATTTGATAAGAGGTTGATATGAAGGATATACAAAGCACTGGTTGAACTCTACAAGAATAAAACATCTAAACCCATCAAAAATGGGGTGATTAAATGAACAAAAACTTTTCCAAAGAAGAAATCATAATGGCTAAAAGGCACATGAGAAAATGCTCTACATCACTAATCATCAGTGAGATGCAGATCAAAACCACATTGAGATATCATCTCACACCACAGAGACTGGCCCACATCCAAAAGAACAAAAGCAACCTGTGTTGGCGTGGATGTGGCGAGAAAGGGACTCCCTTTCACTGCTGGTGGCAATGAAAACTGGTTCAACCCTTTTGGAAAACAGTATGGACGATTCTCAAAAAACTAGAAAGTTGAGCTCCCATTTGACCCAGCAATACCACCCCTGCGAATATATCCCAGAGAGGCAAAAAAGTACAGGCAAAATGATTTTTTGGACTTCTATGTTCATTCACAATAGACAAAAAAAAATCTGAAAAAAAAAGAGTGCCTGAGAACAGACGACTGGTTAAAGAAACTTTGGTACATCTGCACAATGGAGTACTATGCAGCTGTTAGAAAAAGATTAAGTCAGAAAATTTACATACAAGTGGTACTACATGGAAAGTATCATGCTAAGTGAAATGAGTCAGAAAGAGAGGGACAGATATAAAAAGATTGCATTCATCTGGGGAATATAAAGTAACAAAATGGGAAACTAATACCCAAGAATAGCCGAGATAAGTACCAGGAGGTTCACTCCATGGCTTGGAGGCCAGCCACACATGCTAAGGGAAAAGGCAGCTCAGATAGAGAAGGGAGCACCAAATAAAGGGTGTTGGGAGGAGCCTCCCAGGATGAGAGATGCATGTTAAAAGTAAACTATAGACCCAAACATGGTAGCCACTCAATGCCTCTTTTGCAAATCGCAGCACCCAAAAGGAAAGAGAAAACAAAAGCGAATACCCTGCCACAGAGGTGGGGTGGGATGAGGGGATTGGGGGGTGAGAGGGATACTGGGAGCACTGGAGGTAGAGAATGGGCACTGGTGGAGGGATGGGCACTCAATCATTGTATAACTGAAATCCAAGCACAAAAAAATTGTAAGTCTACAACTGTACCTCATGGTGTTTCACTAATAAAATTTTTTTAAAAAATAAAATTTTTTGTAATCTCAAAAAAAACATATCTTTGCCCAATCCCTGGCAACATGCATGCGTGCTCACACACACACACACACACACACACACATGCACACACACACACACATGCCAAAGCAGTAAATCTAAGCAAAAAGATAAATCAGATAAGGATAGGCATATTCTTTCATTTTAATTTAACAAGTCTTTTGAATGCCTAACTGATAGACCTCATAACTATTTTCCTGGTTATCAATAATCAATAATTTAAGATGATAAAATAAAATGAATATTCTATTGGATATAACTTCAAATTAAAATGCAACATTTTACAGAAATTATAGCATTTGAATCTGGAACAAAAGTCTTGGAAGATTATAAAGCATTCTACTATTAATTGAGACATTCCTTCATTGATTCCAGGAGATTTTGCCAAAATAAAAATTTTCTATTGGTGATCCTTGATGTTTTTCTATAAAATGTGAGATATCAATGATATCTGTATTTACTAAGTTTCATATTTTTTTTTAAATAGAGGCTCTATGATTTGTAATTAACATTTTTTTAGGGGGAGAGGAGTTGGTCCTCACCTAGTGATACTTGAGTGTCACTTCCAGTAGTGTACCAAGAGACCATGCAGGTCTAGGAACAGAATTTTCATTCCTTGCAATTAAAGCCTGAGCTTAGTCTACTGGACTATTTTTCCAGGGTCCAACATTTGTTTCTTAATAAAATCATAAGATAAATCAACATGCAAACTATTGCCGTTACTGTTTTCTTTTCAATTTATTGACTCAAAATTAGTTTACAAATGTGTACATATTTCAGTGTTCTTAGTTCACCCTTCAACATAGTCCATAAGAGCTTTGTCTTCCACAGCCTACCATACCTTATGGCTAACTTGATTCTGTGGCAGGAGTTTACTAATTTAATTTTATTGGACATTGCCTGTTTCTATACTTTTCCTTACTTGTTTCTTTATGCACTAATGATAAATAATTTTTTTCTATATTTTCCTTCCTTTGACTTAATTTCTTAACATGATAACTTCCAGTCCTATCCATGCTGTAGTCAAAAGCTGGTCTTCATCTTCTCTTGTATGTGAACAGGATCCGATTGGGCTTATATGTCACTGTTTTTGTTTCTGTTCTGTTTTTTCAATCCTCTGTGGTTGGACACTTGGATTACTTTCAGATCTTGGAATATAGTACTATCTTGTACTATTCTTGACATTATTACTTGGAATTGTAGTTCTGTCAATAGTACTACAATTAAACATAAGGGTACGTGTGTGTGTGTTTGTACATATACTTCTTAAAAATTTTTAATTAGTGTTTTTGTGTTATGGGGATAGACATTTAGGAAAAAGAACTAAATTTTGGTTCCTGTGGTTGCTCTAATTTTAATTTTTGAAGAAAATCCATACTGCTCTTACAAAATCTGAACTAGATTATATTCATACAATAAGTTAAAGTTCCCATTTATTCTCTAACCTCATCAGCATTTGCTGTTTCTGGCCTTTTAATATAGGTAATTCTAATGAGTATTAAGGTATATCTCTAATTTTCATTTCAATAATAAGTGATGATGACCTTATTTTAAATGCACCTTACACATTTAAAATAAATGCATGCATGCATCTGCATGTCTTCTTGCAAATTGTTTAACTTTTCTCCCATTTTTGACAGTTGGTTTATTGTTTTTTTTAAGATTAATAGATTAATATTTTTTTATCCAAGTTTTTTAAAAATTTTTATTAGTGAAACACCATGAGGTACAGTTGTAGACTTACAAATTTTTTGCTTGGGTTTCAGTTATATAATGATCGAGTATGTCTGAATTTTATTATGCTTTTAAAAAATCTCAGGCTGGAGCGATAGCACAGCGGGTAGGGCTTTTGCCTTGCACATGGTCGACCTGGGTCCAATTCTCCCGCCCCTCTCAGAGAACCTGTAAAGCTACCGAAAGTATTTCTCCTGCATGAAGAGCCTGGCAAGCTAACCATGACGTATTTGATATGCCAAAAACAGTAACAAGTCTCACAATTTGTTGTGAGACCTTACTGGTGCCCACTCTAGCAAATCGATGAACAACGGGAGGACAGTGTTAAAGTGCTTTTAAAAAATCTTAAATTCTTAATTTCTTAAATTCTTAAAATCTTAAACCCTTCCTTTTAGCAGAATTATGTGTGTGAACATTTTGTCCCAGTCAGCAGGATGTCTTTTGCTTTAAGGATAGTTTCTTTAATAGTGCAAAAGCTGTAATTAAAACATTTCACTAAAAAGAAACTTTTAATAATAAGAGTGACAAAAACATAAACTGAAAATAAAAAAATAAAATTACAGTTATAAGAAAAAAATGATTTTTGTATTCTGTCTCATTTATTTTCCTCCTGAACCAATAGAAATTCTCATAAATGTCTAAAATCATTCCAGATATCTGTGCTTAAAAAAGAGGTGGATTAAGTGTTTTCCACTGTCTGTCTTAAATTAAAACTTTAAGGTTCATAGTCTTATTTTTCTATGCACTTTAAATATATTTATTACATAGAATTTTATCAATTCAATGTAATATGCTTAATTCAATGCAATAAAATAAAAGAGAAACACTTAATAAACAGGCAAGCTCTCTCTTACAAAGTACTTTTCAAAGAACATTTTAACACACACTAAATACATTAAAGTACTTTTGAAAAGTTCCTGTGGGAAATGACAGTGTTATTTGGTTATATAAAAGCATCTTTTGGTTACACAAACTTGAAAGAGAAGTTGCATTGCGGTAATGCTAGTCTTTATCTGAGAGGCCAAGGGTAATTCTGCAAATTTGTAGCATCATTTCCCTAAACAACTCAGGGCTGAATTGTACTTCAGTTCCTCAGTCCTAAATATTCACAGAGAAAGAAAATACAGGTCTTGACTTCCAGATTTTTACGTATTGCTGAAAGTTGAAAACTTTAGGTGCTACCATGTGTCACTATGGAACAGTAGCAAGAAGCAATGAGTCTAAGAAAGTGTATGTCTCTTCAATTTAGAGAGAGAAGATGGAAACATCATTGTTTTTCTTTTCTCAGTTAAATATGTGTGAATCAAGAGAAAAAACGTTTTTCAAATTAATACATGGTTCAGGAAAAGAAGAAACAAGGAAAGAAGAAAAAATCAGGTAAAAGCATATTTTTTAAATCAGTCTATGTTTAAAAACAGAGTTGGTGTGTTGAATTTTTATTAGCACTTGTTTTTGAAATGTGGTTGAAATGTAGTTTGACAATACAATAGTTGTATCGTGTGTTTCAATTAAAATATCTATTGATCAGAAGCAAGCAGCTAAGTCTAAAGTACCTTCATTTAAAAAGTGCAGCAGTCTCGGGAACTAAAAAACTGGTTAAAATATTACTGAAAAATAATCTTACACCATAGATAGTCACTAAAGGAGAAATAGAAAAATCTTTTACATATGTGTCCTAATTCCTCCGGAAACATGATATTTAAATGATATTCTTTTAAAAGTCAATCAGAATGTGTGGGGAGTTGAGGGAGAGAAGCGGGGTATTCAGGTGATCACTGGTTCCAAATTTGCTTGATATTTAGCGGGAGATATTTTAAGAGTTATTCAAATCGTCCTGACACAATGCTTTCTATTGCAGATCTAAGGAAAAAAGAAACAGGCTCAGTCTTCTTGTGCAGAAACTTGAGTTTCACGAAGAGACTCACTCCAGTAGATCTGGGCACTTGGCCCAAGAAAGAAGGTGAATAATTTTTAATTATTTCGGGAAGATGTTGATGATTCTATCTTTTAAAGATTTAAGAAAGAGGAAATTAAAAATTTCTATTTAATAGAAATTATGCAGTAATATAAGGAAGGTTAAAGTTCTCATTCTAAAAATGCTTGAAATATTTTTACTTCAAACACTTTAATAGCCTGCATTAAAATAATCTTATAAAAATTGAAGAGCTCCCTTTAAAAATCACAGATCTGTCAAATTTAAATGATATATTTTATTCTTTATAATTGATGAAATACTCATTACTGTAAGGGTTTTCACAAGGTAATGATGTTACATAAAATAAATATTCATATCTCCTTTTTGTGATTTACTCTAATAGTAAGTAAAACAGAAAAAGTGGTATTTGTAATCAATAAACATTTTCTTAATTTAAGATGAAAGTAGAATAAGCTTATATACTAATATAATACAATTTTATCTAATTGCAAAATATGACCAACAAGATAATAATTCAGGGATTAAGGTCTTTGACTCAAATGTGTCCAATCCCTTTTCCCAAGAACCAAATAGACTTCCCTGACCACTAACAGGGGTTAACCCTTTAGCACTACTAGGTTTGGCTCACAAAAACTTCTAAATTATCATCCTCTAAAATATCTGTTATATCAATAATGTTTCACAGTTCCCACTTCCTTAAAGCTGTATTAGTTAAACTTCCTTTATAAAACATTGTGGCATATGTGGTAAGAGAGTCAAGGAAGTTACAGTTTTAAAAAAAATTCAGTTTAGTCAGTTCAGGTTCTTCCATTTGCTGAATTAAGAAAAATAGTAGAGCTATTTTTTCACAGCTATTTTGTGTGCTCTTTGACCTAGCACATTAGTAATCTTTCCTTAAAATATTAAACAATCCACACATTCATCAACCAATATTTAATCATATTTTATCTGCTAAGTAAATACCAAAAGAAATGTTTCCAATGATTTTAAGTTGCTAACTTCATAATGTAATAGTGAAGGACCAATCATGTGGAATATGACTGAAAAGACAGAGGTATAGAATATGCTAAAGCAGATTCACAAACAGACCTTCTACGCAATACATTATAAAACATTTTATCTTGTAAACAGAATCTCCCCTGCAGAAGCAGTGATGTGGGGTGAATCATTTGAGAAACTGCTTTCCCATAAAGGTTGGTATCAATTTTTCCAAATAATTTCTCTTTTCCTGGAAAATTATTGAAAGAATATATGTAATTAACTGTACAATATGGGCTGTCATTCAGAAGTTTCTATTAGAGACAACTGAACAATATAGTTTCAACAAAGAGAAATTTTAAAGGTTTTTTTTTTATTTTAAGAATTACTCGTTGTGGTTAAAATACACAAGTCATGGTTAAAAGTCTTTCTTTTGTCTTTTTTAAAATTTCTCAATGAAACCTTTGGTGTAATTAAATTCTAAATCATCTCTTATTTTTAGTGTGGAATGGTCTAAACCTAACGTAGCTCTTTGTGTTGATATTTAGGAAATCATCATAGAAATAAAAAATTAAAATAAATGATCTATTGTTTATATTATCATCAATTCTAAAGCAGAATTTTTAGAAATAAAAATGAGAGAATCAGCGGGTGTCTCAGGCAGCACTTTGTAGATAAGATGGAGGTTTGATGCTCTAGGTCTCCACACAGGGAAGGGAGGAAAATGTTTGCCTTGCAGCCTCTCTTTCAGATCAGTTTACACAGGCAGCAGGTGACTGGTTCTGTTTCTCTCTATTCAGACCATAATTTTTTTCAGGTAGCAACACTTACAAGTTGAATGGATTATATTCTGGGGCAAGACAATTGTGGGGTCATTCTACACTAAACATGACATAGTCTGCTTAAGACACAACCTTTAACCATTACCAAATATCACCATTTCCTCAAGCCCAGTGCCTGAGTTACATCTCAAATTCTTCCTCTGCCTTACCCTCCCACAACAAGAAGGGAGGGCTCCTATTGCCAGAACAGCCTGGAGCAGAGTACTTGTAATTCAGACTGTGCTCCATTTGATGAAACACCATTTTCCCTTGTTTGACCTCATATTTTGCTGTATTTTTCTGCATCATCATTGTCTTTCTCTCTCCAAGGTCCTTGGGTTCAGTTCATGCTTTTCTGAAGTGACAGACTTGAGAATTTTATTTCTGCAGACTATACCTGAAAACATTTCTTTTTTTATTATTGAATCACCACGATATGCAGTTACAAAGCTTTCATGTTTGAGTTTCAGTCATTCAACAGTGGAACAGCCATCCCTCCATCAGTGCACATTTTCTACAACCAATGTCCCCAGTATCATCCCCTACCCCCCCTTGCCTCTATGGCAGACAATTTCCCCCATATGCTCTCTCTACTCTTGGGCAGTATGGTTTGCAATATGGATACTGAATGGCTATCACGTTTGGTCTTTTATCTACTTTCAGCACACATCTCTCATCCAGAACTATCCCTCCAACCATCACTAATTTAGTAATCCCTTCTCTATTCCAGCTGCCTTCTCCCCCAGCTCATGAGACAGGCTTCCAGCCATGGAGCAATATCCCTGGCCCTTGTTCTACTGTCCTTTGGTATCAGTCTCAGATTAAAAGCATCCCCTTCTTCCAATGAAAGCAGAGACCATCTCTGAGTTATAATATTCACTCCAATAAAGAAAAATGACGCAGAAGAAAAATAAAGGCTTAAATTGAGGCAAGTATGCTATCAAAGAAAATGGAAGGGAGAAGTAAGAGAGAAAGTTTATATGGCGGGGAAAAAGTAATTTGCTTCTCTCTTCGTATTTCAGCATAAAGGCTAGCTGTTCCTGTTTGGGAGAGTTTCCTTCCCAATAACAAACAGTTTCTTTTTCTTTTTTTCTCTTTTTGGATCATACCCGGTGATGCACAGGGGTTATTCCTGGCTTAAACACTCAGGAATAACTCCTAACGGTGCTTGGAGGACCATATTGTATGATGGAAATTGAACCCGGGTCTGCTGCGTGCAAGGCAAATGCCCTACCCATTGTACTATCACTCCAGCCCCTCAAATAATTTCTTAACTGCATTAAAATCCTAACCAAACATAAGTAGAATCTATCTCAACTTCAATCACTAGCTTACCACAATGTCAGGCACTTATTAGATATCAGTATTAACTACAACCGCTATAAAACTTCCCTTCAAAATTGATGTCCTTCAAATGTGTTTCTTTTTTTATATCTTATTTTATTTCCACCCTTTTGGCACATCCTTATTTTTTTGTACTTTCACCAAAGTATATGAAAAGAAGAAAGTTTCTTTCCTATTTTTCTGATGTAATTGATTAAAAGTGAATGTGATTTTTCATATGTGAATGTTCAAACTCAGTATGTTCTCTGGCAAACATTAAGGACTCAAGGAATAAACTGAATTTGTTGCTAGGAGAAAGTTAGTCTAGGGTTCCTTTGAGATTTGAGTTCTGGTTCCCTTCAGCAACATAATAGTGATATAATCTTAGTTAAGCTCCCTAATTACTCCAACTTTCTGCTTTCTCAACTGTAAATGGAGATAATATCTTTAACTCCAACAGAATCAGGCTCCTCTCAGGATTAGTGAGATGATGAATCAGAAACAAAGATCCATTTAACACCACACACGGAAATTGTTACTGCTATTATCTAAAAAAATTATCATCAATAATTTGAATAATACTTTCCTGTTTTCCAGTCCATTCCCAACTGGATAATCATCATTTATAGAATTAAATTCCAAATGAAAGTAATACATAACAGGATTTATTTCTTTAACTAAATAAGTTTGTATGCAATAATTTTATTATATTCTCATGACTCATTCAGAAAGATTTAGGCAGGGTAATTAGTCCTAAAGAAAAATATTCCCCTGGTATTCTATAATCCTCCTGCTCTACAGGTAGTTAAAACTTCATGGAAAACAATGAATTCACAACTTTCTTTTCTTTTGGTTCAGGAAATGAAAAAGCTACCATCAATTTGTATTAGAGTGGTTACCACAAATAACAAATCTCAATACTGACACATTCAGATATTATCACTGCTCATGGTGTTCATGGTAAAAGTGCCCGTAAAATTACATTGAATTTACACCCATCCTCTCCCACAATGTTACTAGTGTTTTTAATCTGCAATTCAAATACAATTATTTTAATAGTGAAGTAAAAATAAAATTTAAACTACTCACCTAAAAATGTCTCTAGTTGCAAATGATAAAACTTATTTCATTTATAACGACTTGACAAGAGCAAGAAAAAAAAGTTTTGTTTCTTTTTTTTTTTTTTGGAAGGAAAATAAATGAATGTGGTGGTATTCTGAATGTGTTTTATTGTAAAGTGAAATGAGTAAGAAATTAGAGATTAAGGAAAATAATGAGCCAAATTCCCATGTTTTAATTCAAATTGGCTGGAGTGATAGTACAGTGGTAAGGTGTTTGCCTTGCGCGCAGCCAGCCCCGCTGAGCAAGGTTTGATTCCTCTGCCCTTCTTGGAGAGCCGGCAAGCTACCAAGAATATCTCAACAACATGGCAGAGCCGGGCAAGCTACCTGTGACGTATTTACATGCCGAACATAGTAACAACAAGTCTCACAGTGGAGATGTTACTGGGCCCGCTGGAGCAAATCAATGAACAACAGGAGGACAGTGCTACAATTCAAATTAACAGAAAGATATTGGCACCTTTATAAATGATAAATTGAGAGGAAAAAACAAGGTTTGTGAGGACTGTACGGTTAGAGTTTAAAATTTGTTAGATGCTGGTAATTCTCATGAATTTTGTAGTCACACATCAAAATACAGAAAAACAACTGATTAAAGAAGAGATTCACTAATCATGTCACATACTTGATAACTGAAGATATGAAAGAGAATGTTACTCTGTATAAAAGAAATTTCTTTGGGGGAAAAAAATTCTTTTTACCACACTATACCATTGTCTATTTTCCTCTGCAGCGTCAAAGGAGTCATTGTAAATCATCTCAGTTTGTCTATAATTTTATTAAAGCTTGGGCTTGGGTTCGTGCTTTTTATAATCTGAATTTTTTTTTACATTCTAAATCTATTCAGTTTAAAGCTGAAAATAATTTATACTAGGTCAGAAATAAATAAAATTGATAGTCATTGGACACACTTCATTAAAAATTATGCACCGTTTAAATTGAAAAATGCTTATTACTGATATTGAATTAAAAAAAAGTTTCAAAGAAACTTCTTGTTAGAGAAGGAAGTGAAAACTTCTTCCATCCTTCCACTTTTCATCCTGTGGCTTTTTAAATTGCCCTCCCCAATTTCCAGCTATCAATTTTCCACAAGATAAGTGATCACAGTTTATGCTTTAAGTTAAACTTCTTAAAATGACCCTCATAACAAATACTCAAGTTTCTTAATCTCTCTCTTAAAAAAAAAGCAAAATTTAACCTAAACATAAAAGGATCATGTAAATAAATCACTATTGCTAAAATAATCAGTTTTCTGTGGCAGGTCAAGAATTAGGAAACCAGCTATAAAGGAGAAACAATGCAACCTAGTGCTTCGGCTATTACACTTGGGATTTTTAACTTGAGAGTTTCTTAACTTTTCGTTTCATTTGGTTTCTTGGCATCAGAAAAATACTCCAACAGATGCCAGAGTTTCAATTTAGAAACATGCAATTACAAGCATTTCATATTTGTATGACACATTGAGCCAGCTTCTTCCAGTGTGAATTCTAATCCCAGGTTCTATCAAGCACTTTTGGCAGCTGCATTCACCACTGTTGCCTTCTAAAGGACTGTTTTGCAAGTTACTGCTTCTGTGTGAAAAATGGTTCCATTGTGACCTGGCTTAATGCAGCTGCCCAAGGAGAAACAGGAAGTAGTTAATGGCCTTGGATTAATCTCACATAACGTTGCATATTACTTTCAAGAAAGTAATTGACTTAGAATTTTAAATAAATGAACTTTCTCATTCATTAGCTCATTTCTAAATCAGCATTTATTCTTGCCAATTATTTTCACGTTTTGCCAACAAAATCCATTCACTCTGAACACTTTTAATTTTTGGCCCCTTTCCCCAAATATGAATGCTGTGGTTTTGTTTTGAATGCTCATATCAAACTCAGAACTAACCATGATATTAAAAGTTTTTTTCGTAGTATTCCAGATCACAGAGACTGGCAAACTATTGCGAAT